AAGCTCTTTCATTTTCCTGCCTTCTTTTTTGCATCTTCGTCTATAGGAGCAGGTTTAACAAATGGAATAAATTTGCGGTATTTTTCAGGCATGAATGGATGTAGCACCTTAACAAAACGACGTTATAGCATAACATGAGTTAAGACAAGCAAATAACAGAGGCTCTCAATTCCTACAACACAAATTATGAATTATAGATTTATGGAAAGAAAACACAAACCTCGGGTATAACAATACCATCGTCAGTCTGGTAGTTCTCTAACAAAGCGCAAAGAACTCTGGTAGTTGCGCACATCGTTGCATTCAACATGTGAACGAATGGAACCTAGACTCAGCAAAAGTAGAGGAAAGCCAGCGATCATTGACCATTTCAGATAAGATCTATTAAGCAGAAACTTACTTCTCCATCCATTTTCTTGGTCATTCCATAACGGACTTTCAGCCTACGAGCTTGATAATCCAAACAATTTGAACAAGACACAAGCTCTCTGAAGGCACTTGATCCTGGGAACCAAGCTTCAAGATCGAGTCTAATAGAGAATCAGATAAATAAAACCTAAGGCACATTCACATCTAGTAAAAGCTCACTTTTTTGAAGCGGCATTATTTAACTCGCCAGAGACAATGCATACAATACGATAAGGAATGCCCAGCAGCTGACAGTACTCTTCAGCATTTCCGATCATCTAAAATAAGACGATACCGCAACATGGAGTACATAAAACAGAGAAAATCAACCTCGTCAAACATACGCCACGATTCATTATCGTTGGGCGAACAGATAACAAATTGCTCAACTTTCTCAAATTGGTGCACCCTGAAAATTTATGGTCAGATTCTGTAATGTGAGCATTTGAAAAAGCTCTCATTTTTTTAAACGGGATTAACCAAAGCTTATGAATTTGCATAGAAACGATAAGATAAGCAAAGACTTGCCGAAAGATTCCTCTAGTGTCTCTTCCATGGCTACCAACTTCTTGACGGAAACACGTTGATATGCCAGCATACCTGAGGGGAAGGTCTGATTCCTGAACACAAAATGTCTTAGTATTTTTCTCAATCGATAAGATTACTAGCTTCTGTATCAGTCACTTAGCTAGGACAATAGTATCCAATCTGTTTGACAAAGACGTGCTGAGAGGGTACGTACGAATGTTGATGGGAGTTCAACATTTAAACTGATCAGAAATCGCTTTGCTTTCTACTTCCCGTTTTACTTGAGAAAGGTCAAGCACTGTTAATCACAGTTGCAAAACTATGGAACGGTTTGAAAAATTCAGTAGAGCATTTGGCAGTTTTTAGGAATGTCTTCGATTTGATACTATGTTATTTTTGCCAATTTTTCTTTTATGAGTAATGTAAGTCATAACTTCCATCAAACACTAGTCGAACAAGTTAGATAACAAGTAATTAAGTTTACAGGACGGTACGACCATATTCCTGCTTTATTCTAAGTTGAGAGCTGCAGAACAGGCTGGATTTCACGACCAATAAATACAACAACGCATTTTTGATGTAGTGTCTAAAACGGTCTAAAGTTCAAAGAAAACCAAAAGAGGGTTTTTACAGAATAACGTGGCATGAAATAGGGTGTCGCTCCCAAAAATCTAAAGTTCTTGGGCAAA